TCACACACGTGCAGCGGCCAGGCAGAGTGCAGCTCATTAGCCACGTAGCAAGATCATCAGGCTGGCAGCACCTGTTTTTGGGCTCACCATACTTCAGAGTTGGGGTAAACAAGCGGGATTCACGAGCCTTGGCAATCAGCCAAGAGTTGAAGTAAACAGCACGAGGTTTGGCAGCCAGCCAGGGTTCCATCTTTGGCTGGCTCGGCTGTGCTCGCTTCCCACATACTACCATCATGAACATATATTTACCAAACTCCAGTGCTTCCAACTTCACAGAAACAGTACTGCAAGTATTTAGGACCCAGATTAATCCCAACTCATTGAGAGTAGGAGACTTCAAGACCCCATTGTCTCAATTACATAAGTCAACAGGACAGAGAATTATCAGAGAGACATCTGAATTAAACAATACCATATATCAAATGGACCTAACAGACATCTACCAAATATTCCACCCAAGCACCAAAGAATATACTTTCTATTCAGTGCCCCATGGAACTTTCTCCAAAATCAACCACATACTGGAGCACAAAACAAGCCTCAACAAATACAAAAATACTGAAAAAATTCCATGCATTCTATCAGACCACAATGTAATGAAGCTTAAAATTAACACTGGAAGAAACCCTAGTAACTACATGAACACATGGAGATTAAACAACACACGCCTGAATGATGAATGGGTTAAGGAAGAAATTAAGAAAGAAATAGAAGTATTCCTGGGACTAAATGAAAAGGATAATACAATACAATAAAACCTCTGGGACACATTGAAAGCAGTCCTCAGAGGGAACTTTATAGCTATAAGTGCCTACATTAAAAAATCAGAAAGAATACAAATAAATGACTTAACATTGTGACTCAAGACACTTGAAAAGCAACAACAAATGAAATCCAAACCCAGCAGACAAAAAGAAATAGCAAAAATCAGAGCAGAAATTAACAAAATAGAAACAAAGAAAACAATACAAAGAATCAACAAACCCAAAAGCTGGTTCTTTGAAAAGATAAACAAGATTGACAGGCCCCTAGCCCAGTTAACCAAAAGAAAGAAAGAGCACCTCCAAATCAACAAATCCCCATTCAGAGATGAAAGGGGAAACATCACTACCAACACCAAAAAGATCCAGAACATTATAAGGGAAT